GCCACTATTGGGAGGTGGTTGAACCCTTAGGAGGTAGGGCTTCATGGGGAAAGTTAGGTCATTGGGGGCATGCTCTGCTTTGTGTAGGAGGATTGGGGTCCTTTCTTTGTCCTTTCCTTTCTAATAATCATGGGATAAACATCTTTGTATCACCCCATATTTCCTTACATTGTATTTTGCCTTTCCATTGTCCCAAAGCTACAGAAATAAGCATTCTTGCATCAAAGCAAACAGTTCTTCCTCTTAATTTATTTATTTTGGGTAATTATTAGAGTAACAGAAATCCAAATTCACAGTGACTACTTAACCTATTCAGTTAACTCTCTCCTTTACCTCCCAATGCTACCAACTGTGCTGATAACATCCACCCACATATATAAGGGATAAATCTTGAAGATGTAATTGCTCACAAAAGCATAGCTTCTCTCTGTAACCTCTGATAGATTCCCAGGTCCAAAGAACTCTAAACCATGCCCAACACATTCACCCTCTAGCCACTGTTTGGAACTGTTTCTGAAAAAAAAAAAGGAAAGAAAAGAAAAACTATTGTGGTCCTGTTGTTTTATTGACATCCTCAGCACACATTTAGCTTCATTACTGGTTAGCCCAGCACTCACTATGATAGTGACAGGCAGGCTTGATGAGACTTTTCCAGACCATGTCCTGAACTTACCAAGAGAGACCTGACAGCCAGCATGTGTCTGTAAGGGCCCTTGCGGGGATCTGTGAACAGAGGGTTGTCACGAGTTGGCTTTCTTTACTAGTCCAGTCCCAACAGTCTGTAGTGGCTCAGAATGCACCTATATTTCTGATCATACAGAGAAAACGTGCATATATCCTTACAGTGCTCTGATGTTTGGAAAGGTCATGCCCTTGCTATATGGAAAGGACAGTACTGAGTTGTGGTTCATGTTTTCTATTTAGAAGCCATGAAAGGTCACTCTTTCTCTTCATTTCTCCAAGAAAAGGTAGCAGATGCTCTGAGAAGGATGGCTCAAAATGGTGTCCATCTAGTGAGCTTCCAGGAGCATAGGCCTATGTAAGGAGTGGAATCCTTGAATTGTGTCATTGAGAAGCTGCAGGGGGCAGGGTAGCATCCTAATTTTGAAGTACACTTTATGTGAAGCATGACTGCCTGGGTCTGGGATTGGTCTTCCATGTGATCAACCTGCCTACAGTTCATGCGTTGTCTCCTGCATCTTTACAGATGTGCATGTGAAGTTCAGTCCCTTGTCTATTTACATGAATGAAACAATGTTCTCTAAGTATTTGTGAGATTTATGAGGCTATCCTCTCTGTGTCTCTGTCTCTCTATGTCTTGGTCCCTCTCTGTGTCTCTCTCTCTCGCTCCCTCTCTCTCTCTCTCTCTGTGTGTGTGTGTGTGTGTGTGTGTGTGTGTGTGTGTAGGTGCCTGTGCTCATATATACACCCAAGGAACCCAGAGGAGGGTGTTGGGTGTCTCTGTCATTCATTCACTTGTCCTTTGTAGACAGGCCCTCTCATTGATGCTGGATCTTGCTGACTTTTTAGCTAGAGTGCGTAGCCATTGAGTCCCAGTGGTCCTCCTATCTCTGCATCTGTCCTCCAGTGCTGGATGTGCCCTGTGCTTTATATGAGTGCAAGGAATCTGAACTCAGGTTGTGCTTGCACTGCAAGCACTCTTACCCACTGAGGCATCTCTCCCACACCCTGTCCTCACTCTCTTAAGGATGATAATGAAGAGGTAGCTTGCCCAGTGTTTGACTTCTGCAATCTCTTTCTCTCCCTCTGTCTTCCTGATTGGTACGCCTTCTCCTCTCCCTGTTGAACGAAATGGAATTTTTCACATTTCTCTTACAAATCATTTTAGTGGGGCATGGTTTGGGGAGCCTTTAGAATATACTCCAAGAAATAAGTCTTTCAAATAATACTGTGCCTTGAAACTCTCATGAGAACCTCTCATAGAAACCATCCCCTTCCATTACGGGAATATTAAGACAACCTTTTTTTTTATGAAGTTTTTTTTTTCTTTTTTCTTTTTTGGTATGAGGAAATGTTGGTTTTGATAACTTTAAGAAGCTTTGATTGCTGCTTAGGGAAATTCTGAAGTCCTGTCCTCCACCTTGGTCAGCACAAACCCCAACCAGGCATCTGTTAGTGGTCTTCCTTCCTACACTTGGGCATATGTGTGCCACTAGAGGAAGGTGTCCTAGCCCAGGGCTGCTCCACCAGAACATGATATTTCCAAACCTCCAACTAGATAATATTATTTACAGTAGTAGTTTCTCCTACTAACCCTTTGATCTGCACCAGGGCCACCACCCTAAACCTGCTAATATCTTAGCAATGCATGCACTGCCATGTAGACTATTCAGATTAAAAAAATAGTCATAAGGTACATCTTTCTCAGTTAGCAGATCTTGTATTGATTAATGTACACAAACCGTTTGCATTTCTTTGCTCTAGTCTTGCGGATGAAGAGCACACCTTTCAGTTCCTTGATGCTGTACCATCTGTGCTGTGTTCTCATTCGCCCTCCCATTCTCATGACCCCTCCCATTTATATTCTGTCCCTTGTTGAGGGGCAGGCATCATCACCTCTTTATTCAATTGTTATAGTAACTTTGGATTGTTCAAGTTATCTTTATCTAAATTAACTCCACATTCTACTCTATGTAAAATATAGATCTCTGTATGGGATTTCATCTTTTAGAATCTTTTGATGACTTTCCTTCCCTATAGATGAAGGCTAATCTTGTTAGCATGGGATGAAAATGTCATAGTGGTAAGCCTCATTTCCAGGCACTCCAGTCTCTCATTTATGGTATGAATAAAACACTAATACCAGTACCTTCCACACAATTTTTTGCTTAGTACCCCCATTTAACATCTTCCCAGCCTTTTCATGCTCCACTATGCCCCTATCATATCATACTACCCTTCATCTAATTAATTTCTGCCTACTTTATTGGAGTCAATATGTCACTTCTACACAAAAGTCTTTCCCTTTGTGCTGTAGTAGTATCCCTTGGCTCTCAATCACCCATTGTCATCTCCAATGTTCTAATTATATCCTTAAGTCTGTGTTTCACTGACATACACTTTGTAGCATCTCAAGGGCACAAACTTTATTGTATTCACCTTGATAAAGCAATCTCTTTACTTGTACTATCATGCTGAAATATATTTAACCAAGTTACATATAACAATTCATCATTTCTTCCGCATACCTTATCTTTAAATTTGATGATCCTTTGGAAAGAAGATTTATCGACCCCACCCCCACCCTAGAACCTATCCTATACTTGCTTTGCTTGTTGTTGTTGTTGTTGTTGTTTTGGCAACAAAGTACAGGGTTATAGGAATATCCAACTCAAAAATTAAAATGCAAATTATGACTTTTATAATTACATAGTTTATCTCACTATAAGAATTTGTATTATGAAATATTCCATAACATTTAATGTAAGTATATAATAAATACTTACATGTAGCATTTACGTATTTACAGCACTAAACAGTTTAAAATTTTAATTAAATTGCACCAGCTGGGTTATGGCCAAGATCCTGTGTGAATCTCTGATAGCAATAAGGTGCACCACAGTCTGGACATTTGGCCTAATTGGAATGGGGACAATGTCCTCGAGCCACCATGATGATGGCTGCAGGGAGCAGTCCTCTCTCCCTCTCTCCACACCTTCCTTCTGTTGGTTTACCTTTGTCCAACTTCAGTGTGATGGTTTTTGTTTCATCTGATTATATTTTATTTTGTTATGTGTTATTATTTCTTAGAAGCCTGTTCTTTTCTGATCAGAGACAGGGAGGGAGGTGGTGAGTACCTGGGAGGAGTAGTGGGAGGAAAACTGTAGTCGGGATATAGCGTATGAGAAAACCATTAATTTTCAATAAACAGGGGAGAAGCAGAGCAGTAAAAGTGACTACGGAAGTGTCAGCTGAGATACCAAAGCGCCACATAAGGATGGGAGAGACTAGAATTCCTGCAACTGGAGTCTGTCTCCCTGGGTATTCAGGAGAGATCCATGAAAGGCCACAGATGAGCTATGAGTCTGAATTAGTGTTAAGATTCTTCACAGTCATCCCTAACCAAGCTATAAAAAGAATCTTGAAAGATTCAGTCCCATCCAAAAAGACCTTAAATGTCTGCCAAACAAATGTCAACATTCACTAAGAAACAAGGGATGAGACCCTTGATTAACACCCCAGAACTGACAAAAGAGGACATGAGGAAGAAAGAAAGGAAAAGAGAGAGGGAGAAAGAATATACACATATACAATGTAAAAACTGCCATGTCCAGAATTCAGTATAAAATTGAATGTCATCCAAACAAGCAGAAAAATGAGTCTCATATCTGACAGCTATCAATCAATAGAACCTATACATCAACTCTAGGAGCAATGGCTTTTGTTTATTTTTGAAACAGGATCTCATAGTGCAAACTGGGTTCAAACTCACTGTGGGGCCAAGGACAAACCTTCATATCCTCCTGCCTCCTTGTTCCCAGTGCTGACATTGCAGGCTTACAGCCCCACAACCAGGGATGAGCCGCTGAATCCTTGCATCTGTGCATGCCAGACAAGCACTCTCCCAGCTGAACTGTACCCCAAGCCTGAGATAATGGAGCTTAGCAGATACTTTAGACTTTGTAATATGCTCAAAAATTTTAAAGAAAATTGTAAGGACCATGAAGCATAACAACAGTGAGATCAGGAATAGGAAATAAAGCATTATGATAGGGCTGGTGATGTACTTCAGTGGGAGAGCTTTGCCTAGAATGCATTAAGCCCTGGATTTGAGACCTACCACTGTGAAAAAAGGTAACCTTCTTATACTATTTTATTACATAAGATCAAGTATACGGTTGAGTTTGCTTTTTAAATATCACGGAACTTCCAGAGTTTGGAAAGACATACCTGAATTTTAAAAGTTGCTAGATGGGCTTATTGGAATGTAAAACTGTTAAAAATAATCTAGAAGAGTGGTTGGGGATGTCCTTCCTGTATATATGTTTCTCTTATTAGTTGGTGAATAACTGCTGACTGGCCAATAGCCAATAGGCAGGGCTACCAAACTAGAAGAATGCTGGGAAGAGGAAGGAGAGAAGAACTGTCAGGGAGACATCATGTAGCTGCTGAGAAAGCAAGAGGTCCAGGCATCACCAGGTAAGCCAAGAGCTTGTGGAGATACACAGATTATCAGAAATGGGTTAATAATTAAGAAAGAGCTAGTCAATAAAAAACCTGAGCCATTGGCCAAACAGTTTTTAATAAAAGACTCTGTGTGGTTATTTGGGACTAAAGGGCAGCAGGGACCAGGAAGGAAAGAGACCTCTGTCTTCAGAAGAGGGTCTAGGATAACTCAGTTGATAAGAGCTCCGGCTCTGAGAACATGAGGACCAGACTTTGAATACTTAGTGCCTGTGTAAAAGTTGTACATTGTTGTGTATGTTTGTGACCCCAGCTCTGGGGGGATGGAGACAAGCATATCCTGAACCTGGGTGAAAAAGCAGAACCAACTCCATGATGTCCACTAGAAACACCACTTATATGCAATGGAAATAGAAGTAGGGGAAGTAGGTGTTTGAAAGAGCACCAAAATGATAATGTTTTCTTTATTTGTTTATTTTGTGACGTAGATTCAATTCAAGGGTCTTGCACATGCTCCGAAGGTGGTCTACCACTGAGAATATCTCTAGACCTTAAAATGATAGTGCCATCATTTAAAAATCTATTTTATTTTCCAAGTAAAATGAAACTATATAAAGCACCATCAGTAATAAGTGATAGTTCAATTACCTTCTCATTTGTAAGCAAATTATTATTCACAGAAATAAGAATTTTTCCATTTTTTCGAATTAAAGTAACAGTAAATATTCCCATGTCACTACTAATTTTAATAATACAAGATGCTGTTCTGACTCTTTATTCAACTGGTAAAATACACAGGTCTATTTTTAACCTGCAATTTTCAAGAGATGCCTGGTCTCCTAATCTTCAATGCATTGTTATTCAATGTCTTTCAAAGGTCTGGCCAGAGGAACGGCACTTTGAAGAATTGACTGAAAGCAATCTCATCTATTTCCTTGCATGTTACAAGACCTGTCCTTGTACTGTGACATCTAAGGGCACCCATCTATGAACCATATCATGTTGACCTTCTATTGCCTTGTTGGTTTACTTTGAAGTGCATTGATGGGTTATTCATAGAGTGACTATACACCCTAGTTTGCTTGGGACAGTTCTAACTCCCACATGTAATCCCACTGGAATTATTTTCAGTATCCTCACCCTCAAAAGTGTTATGATTTTGTCCATTTGACCAAATTTTATGGCCATCCTAATTATAAATGAGTTTCTCTTCCCCACACGTTTTTCTTCTTTCCTATGTAATTGACTTTCTCTTGTGTTCTGCATTAACTTGTTGAGGTTTATGTATAGAAACAGCACAGGTTCAGTCTCTGAGGAGTCTACTTGGAAGATCAAGTTACTTTCAGCGTGTGAGAACCTGCTGCCAAGTTCAGAGATGGTACCCTGAGTCTTCACACAGAAGCTTCTGAAGAGCTGCTCAACCTGTACTGGAATGTTCCTGCTAGGAGGGAGGCTCCTGAAACTAAGGCAGGAAGTGAAACATGACATGCTTGGGGAAGGAGAGACTGGGAAGGTGCTCCAAGCTCTTCCTGAGATTCTCAGGAATCTGATGTGGAGGACTCTGAGCAGCCAGCCAGCAGAGAGGAGACCATGGGACCCATGGAACTGCCTGCAAGCTGTGTAGAGTGCTCCAGGGTTGTAGCTTTCATGAGTCTTAACCCTTGTAGACACAGGCTTTTTAGTTACACAGCTGATTTTGAGCCATTCATGCTCCTATAAGGCCTCACATATACTCCTGTTAGTAACCCTCATAAAACACACACACACACACACACACACACACACACACACACACACACACACACTGTCACACCAGGCTCTCTCTCTCTCTCCCTCTCTCTCTCTCTCTCTCTCTCTCTCTCTCTCTCTCTGTGTGTGTGTGTGTGTGTGTGTGTGTGTGTGCGCGCACGCGTGTGTATGTGTCCAGGAAAAGTCCCTCACAAAGTTTCTAAAGGTAGTAATCTGATTCACAATGGCTTCATGTTCATGGCTTCCTCATCCACATAGGCCAATCCTTTGACTACTATCATGTTGGGAGTTAAGAGCAACATAATAATCTAAGGGGGGTATGTTCAATATATAGTGTGCTCACTACTTATAAGTCAGAAAAAGTGCTATAAATGTTATTTTTTAAAAAGAATATAGAAACTTTCATACCATCTGTATAGCCTTACAAAATATCAAACTTCCTACATAATTTACTAAACTTTTAGCAAAAATACTGGATAGGTTGAAATGATTATAGGGGTAGGAGGATTTTTAGGTAGTCTACTTTGTTACTTTGTCTTAAAGGCAAGAGACCTGAGACCAAAGGTTCACATGCTTAACCATAATCATTCTTCTATAAAGGGACAGCAGAGAGATTTTTCAGTTCAGAGCTACACTATTTAGTAGGTTATCTATTAGTCATATGTCAGTATTTAAATTTAATTTAAGGTGAATATTATCACTTGTCAGTATGTGTGCAGTCTAACCATTGTCTAGTATTGAATAGTCATAGGTAACAGGAACTGCCATTGTGCAATCCTCATATGGTTCTACAGCTATAGTGTTTAAAGCAGTGAGAATTCTAAGCACTGGCCAATGAATGGTAGCTCTGAAGGACATAAGTGTTTACATGATCCTCATCATGCAGGAGACCAAAGTCTGGCTGTAAAAGCCAGTTGGTTATTGCATCAGTTGGAATTATGGAAAGCATGTGATGTAGGAAAGTGTACTTAAGCCCCATCATAGAGTAAATTTGTTAATTCATAGAAATAAGACATCTGAGAGGAGAAGTCACTTTAGGCCCATGAGGTAGTCCATTCTTGGTAGCCCTTCCTGTATTCATACCTTTTTTGCTATGTCTTTGCAGGGCCCTCTCTCAGGGCTGAGTCCTTTTCAGTCTCATTTACATCTGGGCTTTCCTGGTGTAGGCTTTCATTAGCAGAATATGGCAGAAATAATGGTCAAAGGTAAAAAGCCCCCTGTACATTCCCGAGATCGATGTTGAAATCCTATCATTGTCATGGAAACAGGTATAGTTCAGCATGCTAGATGGAGACAGACCAGTTGTATTCCTGTATTGCCTACAGGTAAAATGAGGAATGCCATATGATATTAGAATGGATTCCAAGAGCAATATCCAGGTAAGACATCAAAGCTGCAGAGGCTTTTGCATGGGTTCCCACCCTGCCTGTCCAATGGGACCTCTCACTTATTTGTTACATTAATGCTGGCACACACCCTTTCCATTCTACTCCCCAGCCAGCTCACTTTTCTTATTACCTAATCACCCACAAACGCTTCTACAAGATTTGCCAGGATCTTCTTGAGGAGAATCAAGAAAAACGTAACCGGGGCCTAGCTAATAACATGCCTCTACCACCCGCCTCAGGGGAAGTACTTTCCCCCTCCCTTTGTTCTTAGTGATCTTAGGACTTTGGGTATAACCATTGAATAAAAATTCTCTGTCTTTCATAGGGTTGATTGCATCATTTAAGGCTCTGTGTCATCCTCCAGCAAATCATGGTGGCTAAGGCATGGCTAAGGCTTCCACAAATGAGCAGGAACAGTGTGAGGTTGTTCCTCACATGTGGTCAATCCACAGAGTAAAACTCTGCAGTATTTGCAGTGTAGGAGAACAATACTACTCACGAAAGTTAACAACAACAATACTTTAAGAATTAAAATTATCTTCACATTGAGACTCCTCACTCATAATTACTACAGGTTTTCAAGCTTTAAAGCTCGATGTTGCTACAAGCAATAGCTAATTTGTGCATGATGGCAGATTTCCACTATTGTGCCAACAGGAAGACTACAGACTGGCTGGTGGAACAGATAGCACATAGGAAAGAAAGGTCAGGAAGACATGGCTTCAGAGATTCTAAATCTGCCTGGGAACCCTAGTCATTCCATTTAGCTGCTAGCTCTTTTCTCTTCTTTTTGGCCCTGTTCAGTTCTGAGATACAGAACTTAATTCGGGCATGCTTACAGAAGGATTCTCTCCTTTCCCACAAGCTGCAAGAAAAACTCCATATTGATTTTGATCTGGCCAACCTTGACCCACATTGCTAATGGCCTTCCCAGAATGAGATTACCTGCTCACTAGTTGTTACTTCTGGAAGAAAGGGAGGCAAAGCTAGGAAAGGAAGAATGAATGGACTCCATTGGTCTAGCCAGCTGTCTACTCACCTTAATAATAGATATTTCAGAATCCATAACAGGCCTGGGCTTGTTGTCAGGTCTGAATTTGAATGACAAAAATTGAGAGAAACATGAAGTAACATAAGACAGACCTCACACGGTACACAGGAGACCACGGAAATTCTCCTTGAGGCCTGATAGTATGCTAAGAGGGATGAATGTAGTGAGAGTCAAGGTACAGGAGCCCCTAACAAGGAACAAAGGAGACTTTGGAATTTCTTTGTGCATTTTCAAGTGGACAAAAGGGAAAAAGAAAACAAAGCACCATTATCTCTCTCTGATCTCTCAGATTTATCACCTTGCCCTTTGAAGCCCAAATCTGAATTACTTGATATTTACATTGAATAGTTCCTTAGCAACCGTCTCAGGTATATAGAGAATGGTACAAAACTGATTTAATAAAGCTGGAAATTAAATATCTCAACCATTTCAAAATATTATCATATAAACATATTCCAAGAGAGTTTCTTGTCACCATGGAATTACATGTGCGATTACCAAGCATTCTTCAAAGTGACCAGCAATGCTTCAGTGACTACAAGTGTTTTTAAAATATTAAAGCAAGCAGATCCTCTTAGCAAATCTCAACATGTTAATGAGGTGACCAGCAATGCTTCAGTGACTACAAGTGTTTTTAAAATATTAAAGCATTCCGATCCTCTTAGCAAATCTCAACGTGTTAATGCTTAGTGAATATATCACAATGGCCAATTACCCGGAAGAATTGGGAAGGATGCTTAGGGGGATTGGGGGCGGGGAGAGGGGAATCAATAGTCAGATATTCAGGAAGCTCAGCAAAGCTAGAAAGTTCTGGTGATGTGGAAGGTCCAGGTTTGTGAGTTCCTGAGTCCAGAAACTGAAGTGTGATAGCAGGTGGGAACAGACAAGGGCGTGGGTGTTTGAACAACTCTTCAGCAGGTGGTGCTGCCAATGGCTCCCTTTAGCTTTTTAGAGGAGATGAGAAACTATTTGCCTGCAGAGAGGCAGCAGGAAGAACCACAGCTCTGGTCTGCATAGTGCTAGAGTCAGAGAAAGCTTGAAAGCCTACAAGAGGATTTCGGGGAATTCTTAAGTTAGCATGTAATGAGATGCTGTAATAAAAACACATAGTCACATTACAGAGGAATGAAATTCTAATGTGTGATACAACACAGGGAATATTGAAAACATCAAAGAAAATGAAATACTAAAATACAAAATCATATACTGTGTAATTTTACTTATATGGGTATTCTGAATAAGCCAAGTGATGGGAAAAGTAGAAATAGCAGTTACCTCAGGTTAGTAAAATGAAATAGTTATTTTTTTTTAAGGAATCCAGTTTTAATGTTTTTCTTCTTCTCGTGTGCATGTGCACGAAGTGTCTGTATGTGTGTGGCACATATATGTGTGTGCACATGTGGTTAATGTCAGAATCTTTCATGATTATGCTTCCATCTTATTCTTTTCTATAGTCTCTCAGTCGCTCTCATCTTGGTCTGGGGATCTTTTGTCTGCTCTTTGTAGGCTGGAATAACACACAGGACCTCACTCACCCAGCATTTATGTGAGTTCTGGGGATCCGAACTCCAGTTCTCTCGCTTTCATGGAAAGCACCTGTAGTGTGAGTGTATGTAGGAAGGACTTCCTGACCTCAGGGTGGATGGGTAAAAGGAGAGAATGGAAGGAGCCAGGAACAAGAGTTCTTAACAACCCACTTCCTAGTATGTACCAATTCCTGAAGTTTCCAGAATATTCCAGAATATTCCAGAATCACAGCTGGGGCCAAGCACTTAACACACCAACTTGTGGGAGACATTTGATACTTAAACCATACAAATAGGGAGATGTCTCAGATTAAAATTAAGAAAACCAAAAATAGTTGTATAGATTCTAATTTCTAAGACTTAGTGTTTATATATTATTGTTGTGCTATACTTTTTAATTATTTTTGAAAGGTTTATATATTTTTATTTTAGGTATACAAGTGTTCAGTTGAGTGTATGCATATGCACACCATGTGTAAGCCTGGTTTCTGTAGAGGTCAGAAGA